GATCAGCCCCCCTCCGCCGTGGTGCCCGGCGCCCGCCTCGCTTGGCCCCTCCGGCCAGCCCTGGCAGCTCTGCGCCAGGCAGCCCCGGGGCAGCGCCGGGGACTCAGCACCCCCTCGGGACCAGGGCACACGCTCGACCTCGGGGGGATCTTCCCGCCCCTCACCACCCCCTTCTCGCCCACGCAGGAGGTGGACTATGCCCAGCTGGAGGGGAACCTGCGCCGCTACGCCGGCATCCCGTTCCGAGGTGAGTGCTGCCTGCTGCTGTGCTCTGCGCAGGGTCCTGCCAGACCCCTGCCCACCCCAGGGGCTTTGCAGCCTGCCAGCTTCCCAAGGGCGCTCAGCCTCCGGCCGGACTGTGCTCCGGCACTGGCAGCCCCTCGGGTGACCCACCCAGGGCACTTTGCACGTGTGTGTCCTTGCACACCCCCACCACACTCCGGTGCGTGCTTGCATGCACGCTCCATGCGTGTGCAGGCTTGCACACATCCTCCGCGCGCAGCTGCAGGCTCGCACCCCACCCTCTGCACACCCGTGCACACTCACACAGGTTCAGCCCCACGGGATGTGTATCTGCTGGTTGCCCAGGATGGGTGGATGGGAGGGAGGAGAGGGGCTGCAGGAAGAGGCTGGAGGTGGTGGGAATGTGCCCCAGGGTCTCCCCTCTTCTGACCAGGCTGTGAGTCCAGGGCTTGTCTGGCTGCACGGACAGGAGAGGGCACGCTGTGGACTGCAGACCCGTGTCTAGGTGCCCAAGGGTGAGGAAGGGAGAGAGGATGATGGGGACACCCAGCACTCCTGGCACCCTGGAGCCCAGGACGCCATGGCAGAGCCCGGCAGCATGGGGCTGGAGCTGGCCTGCCTGTGACCATGGTGCTGGCAGTGTCCCAAGGAAAGAGGACTGTCTGTGTGCCCCAGCCGAGGGCAGGGCGGCACAGCCTGGCTGCAGGCACCAATAAATCCCTCATGAGAGGTGCTCTGTGGGGCGGTTTCTGGGGACGGAGACGGGCAGGCAGCGTGCTCAGCCCACAGGGTGCATGCACTGCACGCGAGAGAGTGCCCGGGTAGGGGATGGCACCGCCAGTGCTCAGTGCAGTGTGGGTGGGCACAGCCCTCCAGGGGTCACGTACCCACGTGTGCCCTTTGTGGGGGACCCCAGGGCTTTGCAGGGCACCTGCAGGAGCCTCCTGGCCCAAGGGGGCTGCTGGATGCCAGCATCGGGCCACTCCAGGTGTCTGGTGACCACCCGAGAGCTGGGCACGGAGAGGGCAGGGACGGCTGAATGGCGGGCACCCTGCTCCTGTGCCCGGATGCTGCCCTCCCCACGCTTGCGTTTCAGGGCTGGTGGCGCTGGGCTCCAATGGGGAGTACCCCTACCTGTCACCCCGCGAGCGGCTGGAGGGGGTGAGCTGCGTGCGCCGAGCTCTG